TAAGGGTGCGTTTACACCTCCTCGTCGTCGTCGTCGCCGAGGAGGAGGAGGAGGGCCCCAGGAGTTCTGTACCACCGGCCGCTGGGTTGGTACATAATTCCTGGGGCCTTCTTGGAGCCCTCTTGGCGCCCTCTTGGCGCCCTCTTGGGGCCCTCTTGGGGCCCTTGGGGCCCTCTTGGGGCCCTACAGGGCCAACCAGGGGTCCGAGAGGGCTCCGAGAGGGCCCTCAGAGGGTCCCAAGAGGGTTCAGGAGTTCTGTACCAGCGGCCGCTGGATTGGTACATAATTCCTGGGGCCTTCTTGGGGCCCTCTTGGCGCCCTCTTGGGGCCCTCTTGGGGCCCTTTTGGGGCCCTCTTGGGGCCCTCTTAGGGCCCTCTTGGAGCCCTCTCATGGGCCAACCAGGGGCCCAGGAGGGCTCCAAGAGGGCCCTCAGAGGGCCCCAAGAGGGCCCCAGGAGTTATGTACCAGCGGCCGCTGGGTTGTTGCACAACTCCTGGGGCCCTCTTGGGGCCCTCTCGGAGCCCTCTTGGGGCTCTCTTGGGGCCCTCTTAGGGCCCTCTCGGGGCCATCTTATGGACGGCGACGACAACGACAACGACGACGACGATGACGACGACGACGACGACGACGACAACGACGACGACGACGACCACGACGATGGTGGTGACGACGACGACCACGACGACGACGATGACAACGACGACCACGATGACGACGCGCCCGAAATCAGCCGACAAAGCGACCTAGTAGTTAAACCGACAAGGTGTCCTTCTTTTGGCGCAGCGGCTCCGAGACAGCCTGCAGGGCAGCCTCTTTTTGGCCGCATCGGCTCCGAGAAGCCTGCAGCTCGGCCCCCGGTGACATTTTTTCGGCCCGCCCTTTCAAGGCCCCACGGCCGGCTCTTGGGTCGAGGAAGAAGAGGAGCAAAACCAGGAGAATCAGGAGCAGGAGGACGAGGAGGTTGAGCAGGGGGACAAGGACGAAATGAGAGGCCTTAAGCGGCTCCGAAAACCCTGCAGCTCAGCGCGGTTTGGTCTCGGAGCCGCTTCTGGCCTATCATTCCGTCCTTGACCCCTTGCTCAAACTCCTCGTCCTCCTGCTGCTCCTGCTCCTCTGGTTCCTGTTGATCACCTTCTCGTCCTCCTGCCCCTCCTCCTCCTCGACCCAAAAGCTGGCCGTGGGGCTTTGAGATGGCGGCCCCACAAAACATCACTGGGCCTCGGGGTGATATGTTTTTCCTGGGGGGGGCAAGGGCGTCCGCAGACGAGCCCGCGCTGAGCTGCAGGCTTCTCGGAGCCGCTTCGGGCCTCTGATTCCGTCCTTTCCTCTTGCTCTTCCTCTTGGACTGTTTCCTCGCCCTTTGGGGCCCTTTTGGGGCCATCTTGAAGTCAGCTTGGGCCGTCTTGGGACCATCTTGTGGACATCTTGGGCCGTCGGACAGCCGAAAAAGAAAACGCGCCCAAATTATTCAACAATTGAAGGGAATAAATACAACCATTTGGGCATTTCGGGCTCTCCTGGAGGTCCTCTTGAAGACTTCCTAGACTGTCTAGGAGGCCCCTTGCATCCCCTTGGGGCCCTTGGGGCCCTCTGTGGCTGTCTTGGGACATCCTGGGGCTATGTCGAATCGTATCGTTGCCATCTTGGACGTTTTGGAGCCGTCTTGAAGGCCATCGTGGGCGCCTTGGAATTCTCGTGGGCCGTCTTGGAGGCGCCTTGGGGGCCTCTTGGACCGTCTGGAGGCCGTCATGGGGCCGTCTTGGAGGCCTCTTGGGCGCTCTTGGGGCCATCTTGGGGGTCTCTTCGGCGGCATTGGGCCGTCGGCAGGCCGAAAACGTCAAAATCCATCAAGAGCCCACGGGAAATCAGCTGTCTTGGCCTCTTCGGGCCTTCCTGCAGATCTCTTTGGAGGCTTCTTGGACTGCATTAAAAGCCTCCTGGGGGCCTTTGGGGCCGTCCTGGGCCATCTTGGGGCCATCTTGGACGCCTCGGGTGCATCTTGGGCCGTCTTGGAGACATCTTGGAGCCGTCTTGGGCTCTCTTGGAGCGATCCTAGCCGCCTTGGAGGCATCTTGGTGACCATATTGGGCCGTTTGGGCCGTCTTGGTGGCGATGTGGGCCACACCTTCTGGTCCTTCCGAGGGGCAGGCGGTCTGGGCCGAAGGCCACTGGGAAGGGTTTGAAAATCAGAATCTCAGCAAAATGTCTGGCACGCCGTCCAACCCTGTGGCAAGCACAGGGGGCGGCGGATCCAAGACGCCTACGGCGAATCACCGCCGCCCCCAGCCTTTTTGAGAAGCGCCTATGTGGCCAAACGTTGGGCCCCAGCTTGGCCAAGCTATCTGATTATGTATTCCCCCAGCCGCTCCGGAAACTCTTCGGGGAACGCTTGGGGGAGGCTGAGGGGGAGGATCAGGAGAGGGAGGAAGAGGATGACAAGGAGGAGGAGAAGGGAGGAGGAGGAGGAAGCCTCTTGGGAGCCTCTTGGGGCACTCTTGTGGGGCCTCCTGGGGGCTTCCCGGGGGGCCTCTCGGAAGCCTCTTGGGGGCCTCCTTAGGCCTCTTGGGGGCCGTGGGGGCGTCTTGGGGGCCTCTCCTTGGCAGTCTTAAATCGTTCCTAGCCCGTCTGACGGGTCTGACGCCGTCGGAAGCCGTCTTGGGGGCCTCTCTGAACCGATGTGGGGTCCTCTTGAGGCGCTTCAGGGCCGTCTTGGAGGCCATATTGGGCGTCTTAGAGGCCTCTTGGGGCCGTCTTTGGGGCCTCCTGGGCCGTCATGGGGCCATCTTGAAAGCCTCCTGGGCGCACTGGGGGCGAGGAGGAGGAGGGAGGAGGAGGAGGTTGAGGAGGAGGAGGAGGAAAAGGAGGAATAGGAAGAAAAGGACTGGGAAAAGCAGGCGAAGAGGGAGTAGGAAGAGAAACAGGGAGGAGGACCAGGAGAAGGAGGCAGGGGGTATGAGCGAGGAGACACAGTCGGACAACGAGAGACAAAGTCGGAGCAACCCCCAACCCCCAGAGTCTGGGGGCGCCCCAGAGTCTGAACAGCACTTTTTTCAGATAACGTGCGTCTATGGCGCGGGCCAGGGGCTTCTAATCAGTGATCGCCAGGCGGCGCATTGATAGCCAGATGTTACAGCTGCCAAGCAGATCAGGGGAGTGCACAAGCTCGGCACGAAATGTGTGAAAGATCCGTGTAGGCGAACGCACCGAGAGGAGGGATCAGAGGAGGAAGAGCAGCAGAGCAGCCAAGGAGGGGGGGTCACCAGCCTCCGCGTGGCGGCGCGAGCCGAGGGGGGGGAGCTCACAGGTTGAGCCTGTCCGGCGCAGCCGCGCGGGCCTCGGGGTGGGCGGCGCACGTGTAGTCGATGTCGACGCGTGAACCTCGAGGCAGATCCAGCAGCTCAGGGTGAGGCGATGGACGCTCATCGACGGCGAACCCTCTCCCCCATCAACATTCGGGAGCGGCCAAGAGGGGGGTGTCCAAGAGGGGGGGGTGCAAATCATGACCGGCGGCATGTGCGCGGCCCAGCGGGGGGGCCAGGGACGTAATGGAATAAGAAGAGGCGCCATGCAATCTGGGGAGATATCATGGCCCCCGCCATGAGATCCACCCCCCCCTAGTCATCGCCCCCCTCTGTCCCGCCCCCGATCAACATGGGTGTCCTTCTCGGGGTCCGGGACGATGGCCGGGGCCAGCGAGGTGGAGGGAGGCAGCCGAAGAGGACCAGCGTCGGGAGGGAGGGCGCCACCGGGCCGCCACTTCGGAGGCGCCGGCCCCTCGGCGCGGCCCGGGCAGCGGTGCAGCAGTGCCCCAGGGGCGGACCCTGGTGTCCAGGACCCGATCGCCCTGTGTAAAAATGCCTTCCTTGCGCACCGCGGGGCCGCCAGGAGCAGCAACAACGGAGGGCATGGAATCTGCAATACATCGCCGATACGACGACGACGACGACGACGACGACGACGACGACGACGACGACGACGACGACGACGACGAGGATACGAGCGCAGAGGGGGGAATGAACGACGAGGCGACGGGGGGACCGCCTGGGTAGAGAGGCCGGGATGGGCCTCAGAAGCGCCCGCCGCGGTGTCGCCGCCTTTGCTCTTCGGAAGAGGCGGCGAGCAACCGCGGAAGCAAGATGTCGTTCTCGGTCTCTCGCCCGCGCGCTGCCCGCAGCCACTGCCAGAACCAGTCGGCCGCTTTGGGCGAACGCGGTTGGAACTCGAGAAAACGAGATTGATCACAACACTCCAGTATGTACAGTCAACGCGCTACCACAAACGCTGAATAAGGAACGAAACGGCTTTTCTGACCGCGGCGGGCTTTTCTGACCGCGGATTTTCTGACCACAATAGGACACCCGACCTGGAACTGATTAACGGCCTGAACACGAGAGCCCCTCCTGAGCCTACGGTGTTTTCTCTTCTTGCCCCTCCTCCTCCTCCTCCTCCTCCTCCTCCTCCTGCGCCTCCCTACGCAAAGAGGAAGCAGACGGCAGCCGCAGTACGTGCGTGATTGACGCGTCTTGACCGTGGGGAAATCCACGAGAGGAGGTGCGGAGGAGCACCGATGACGAGACGGTCGGGAGCACCCGACGGCCAAGCCATGGGAAAAAGGGAGGCGGGAGCTCTCACGGCTGGCTGGAATGAGCGGAAAGACATGATCAAGCAACAAATACCGCCAAGAGCCCGCCGAAAGCCCCCCAAGAGACCGTCACGAGAGCTCAGGAGGCCCCCTGGAGGCCTCCCGAGTTCTCCAAGAGGCCTAAAAAGAGGCGCCAAGAGGCCCCAAACGGCCCCACCGAGGCTCCAAGAGGCCACGAACGCGCAAGCAAACGCCTGCGATGGCACAATACGGGCCGGCGGAATGAGCGAAGCGATTAAATAAGCGGAAAGACTTGAGCAAGTGGACCTTCCGATCCCCATGCTCGCAAGCACAGCCAAACTAAAAATTCGGTCCCCGTCGCAGATCTTGCTGAGGCGGCCCACGAATGCAGGGCCGCTCTGTGGGTGGAGGCAAGACGTAAGGAAGATAACGACGCGTAGCCATGACCAACCTTACCATCGTACGGTCGCTAGCTGCAGCTGGACATCCTCCTTTACAGTTGCGCAGTCGCTGCAAACACGAGGAGTCACAAGCTTGTGAGTCATCGCTGGGAAACTCACGGCCCGAATCCCCGCCGTCGATGTTTCCCCAGGACGCGGAAAAAAACACGATTTGAACATATCATACACAGCCAAGGCGATGACGAGGATACGCCCAAGACGCCTGCGCCAGCCATGCGGCACAGTCTGGGGCAAACGCTGCGCGAGTCCTGCGCATACGCCCTCGTGGACGCGCATGGGGGGCTTCAGAAACTGGGCCAGCTTCCAGGAGCGCTGTCGAAGAAATCCTGCCCCAGGTGAACGAGGAGAGGTTACTCAATGAACGGCGCGGCTGCACTGTAAGGGTCTGAAAATAAGGCTCTGATGCAAGGAATGGGAGCAGCAATCAACCACGCAATCACCACCCTGACAGATCTGGTTGTCTGGGGCCTCAGAACGGGATGACACCAGCATCAACACAAGGAGTTGCTTCCACCTGTGAACGATGATCCACGATGTTGTTATGGTGGCTTTCTCTCGGCCACCTGGGAGTACCGAATTTGACCACCATCACTGAGACCAGGAGCATCTCCCTCCCGTGGAGGCCACCGCTAATACTGGTGCTGGTGCCAACGTCTAGGCCTTCGAAATTGTGCCCCATTCGGGCCATCAGAAAACCCTCGGCCTTAGAGACGGCACGGGACGCAGCAGCTCGGGCAAGAACAGTGTGAATGCCGAAACGCATGGCGAGGCCCAAGAGGTATTAGAACTGGTGGACCATTTTCGCAGGTGCAACGGCCATGGGACCACGAATAGAACTCCGAAGTACACGATACGTGACGCGACGCACAGGCTCGCATCGAAGGCGACGTCCGCTCGCACCCTCTGCGAGATCGAGAAGCTCATGCTGTGCATATGCGCGCATATCTGCTGCAACGCGCTTGTGGGCTTTATCCGCGCAAAGTCTGGACGTTTCAAACCGATGGTGCTCCCTAGATGCATGCCATGCGCGCTGATTTCAAATTTGTCAGCTTGAAGCCCATCAGCCCGAACCAGGGCTTTAGCAGTCAAAATCGCGGGGCAGTGGCGGTGACAGTGTTGGCGGGCCGGATGCTAGTCCAGCACCAAGGGTATGTCGCACCAATCCTCGGACGACCACTTGGAGCGAAGAGAGGAGACTGCAAGCAACGGTGATTAGCCAGGTCGCCAGCATCATCGCGCAGAGAACACGTTGGCGCAGCAAGAAAGGCGTCTGCTAGACTACAAAGGTACCTGTGAATGGGGCCCATGCGGTTGGCGAGCAAGGCACCAGAGGGGGGGCACTCCTGCTTCACAGCTCCCCTCAACAAGTGCCACTGGCTAGATGTTCGAAAACTGTCTGGACCTTGCAACATCGCATAACGTGCGAATTGCGTTTATGCCATGTGCTGGGACGCCCGTCTTAATCAAGACTCACCCCCGCCGCGCTCGATTCAAACTTGGACGCGCAGGCCGTATGTCAACGAGGCAAGCACCCAACTCACATTCATACTCGGGATCGCTCATCAAAGCTAGCTGCTAATCAATGGCGTGAACGTGATGAATGATCGAGACCCTGCCGCCCAGAAAAACTGCTGTCGTGAACTCCATGTTGCGTGTCGCTTACTATTTTTTCTTTGACCAAGGAGCGCATCATGCTGCAGCTATACTCATGTTGACTGCATTGCTTGTTCATGGGCGTGCGTCCACATGGAGCCGAGATTGCCCGCGATATTCGCAACGCGCATACCCCTTCCAGAGGAACGTCGCCAGGCCACTGTTAACACCTTCAAAGGGGGCGGTGTGCCTGAGTAAATCTTGAAGAACACTGCAATGGCCCTCAGCGAGAACAGTCCGCCAGCTTTCCAAGCCGAGTGCGGGAGGCCATCTACACCAGGCGCGGAAGTTAGAAGACGAGACGCCAAGTTAGCAAACCGAGTACAGTAATCGAGGCATCCCACGCCATCTCATTGAATATGCTCTGACTTAGCGGGCACAGGACCTCGGAATGAGCAAGCCTCTTGGCTCGCATTCACCATTTGAGCCGGTCGTGAGTGAAGCTCGTTGATGTTGCTATCATGTGTGCAGGGCCGGCCGCATGCTGGCAGCTTCTGGCTGGAACTGTCGACCTCTCTTCCTGGCGACCTTCCCGACGTACGCTCTGGTGTCCCAGCTCGGCTCGCTCATCCACGACGGCGGCGCAGCCGATGCGGGTCTCGAGACCTTCTGCTGCGATCACGTCCGTCATCGCCTCCACGAGTGCGCCGCGGCCGCGGTGAAGGAGACGACGGACTCAGCGTGTGCATCGCCAGCGAGCGGGCAGCACTCGGGCTCGCAGCAGCGGCACGCCTCCCGTCGCTCCTCCCGGCGCCACCTCTCGCCGTGAGTGACGCGCGTGATGGTAGCTCGAACGAGCGGCCCGCGGCCGCCGGGCGGCTCGCAACAGGGGGGTCGGACGGTGAAGCGTGCGCCACGGGGACTCTGAGCCAGCCCTCGGCGGCGTACAGGCTGAAGCCCTCAGGCCTCACAGGTTTCAGCTTGAGCCAAAAGGGCAACGGGAACATCAGGAGGGAGGAGGATCGAGGAACAACCAATGACAAAAACATGAACTTTCGGAGGTCCCCAGGGATCTCTTGGAGCCCTGGAACTCCGCGCGGTACTACGAACAAATGATGCTTCTGTGCGTGTCCCCCGCAAGAGGGGGATCGAGCGCTGGACCAACTCCCGCGGCATCCGCGATCCTGATCCGCCGGCGAGAGGAAGGGGTCGCGCATGGCCATCGTCTCCTCGGGGGGCGACAGATCCTCTTGCGCGCCAGTCCTGGACAAGCCGCTCCTGGCTCAGGCTCCGTGCACGCGCCCTCATGGACAGGGGGAGCCCGGACCTCCGACGTCGCGATTGCTTCTCAACGCGGACCCCCATCCCCGAGGCGGTGCTTCATCCCAACTCGTTCTTTGACGGCCCCATGGCCCAGCGAGGGCCCCCGAAGGCCGGCAATGGAAGTAAAAAACTACGGTCGCGTTTTTGTTGTCGCGATGAGAGGAAGTGGGGTGGGGTGGGGTGGGGTGGGGTGGGGTGGCGCAAGTATCGGTCCTGGGCTCGTCCTCGGCGATCGACGTTTTATCCATGCCTCTGATCACGCCCCAACCCCGCCAGGGGGTCAGAGTAGGGGCATGGACGAGAACGAGGAATCGGCGGCAGGCGAGAGGGGGAACGAGCAGGAAGATGCCTTCTCGGAAGGCGGCGGGACCATTCAGAAGCCCTCCGGCCTTCTGAGAGGCTCTCTGCGCCTTCGGGGGAGGCTTCGGGAACCGCTCCGAAGGCCCGAGGCCTCCCGCCCCTCCTCGCTTCCCCCCCCGGGGGCTCGCCGCCGACACGAGCTCTCGTTGTCCATACCCCTCTCCCTCCTGGCGCCCCCGCCTCCCTCCCCCACTCCTCCTCCTCCCGCCTCCCTCCCCCGCTCCTCCTCCCTCCTCCCTCCCTCCCTCCCCCGCTCCTCCTCCCTCCTCCCTCCCTCCCTCCCTCCCTCCTCCCTCCCTCCTCCTCCTCCTCTTCCTCCTCCTCCTCCTCCTCCTCCCCCTGGCCGTGCCCCGCTCGTGGGCGCGGCCGGGGCCCCGCCGCCGGCGCCCCGGGCCCCCCCGCGGTGGCCATAGGAGCGGGGCGTCGGCGCTGCGCGTTCGATCCAAGCCCGCAAAGCCGCGCGGCTGCTGCCCCCCAATCTGGGCGCCAGGAGGGAGGGAGGGAGGGAGGGAGGGAGGGAGGGAGGGAGGGAGGAGGAGGAGGAGGAGGAGGAGGAGGAGGAGGAGGAGGAGGAGGAGCAGGACTGCCACGCCGGTTGTGACGAACGAGCAACACACACACACCCATACCCATAGGGGGTTCGTTGAGAGGAGGACTGGCTATGGGTATGGGTGCGGGTTGTCGGACCCTGGGGAACGCTCCCGTTCGAGTGGGGACCCCCATCCGACAACACGCACCCATAACCCTCTCCGACCCCCCTATGGGTTATGGGTTCGTGTTGTTGGTTCGTCAGGTTGCGGGTGGGGGTGGGGGGCTGCCGCGAGCTGCGGTTGGGAGCTTCTGCTCGGCGCATCGACGCGGCCCCCTTGGCGACACGGTGTGCCCAACAGGCGGGCGCCGTGTCTGGAGGAAGAGAAGCAGCATAGACATCCGCCACCGTGCCTCTCGGCACGGAGTGGGCCTTTCCTCAGGTCCTTTCCCCACTCTCCTGAGCCTCAGTCCTCACTCTTGATTAGTGCCCAAATTCACAAATCTCCCCGGGCTTGGCGCGGCTCCCTCTGGCCTTGGTCCATCTTGTCGCGCGAGTCTTTCCGACCCAAGAGGGCCCCAGGACGGGCCAAGAGGGCCCCAAGAAGCCCCCAAGATGGGCCAATGAGGCCCCGAGTCGCCGAACGATCGCCCCAGGACGCTCAAGATGGCCCCCAGATGGCCCAAGAGGCCTCCAAGACGCCCAACGAGGCCCCCGAGAGGCCCCCCAAGGAGGCCGCAAGATGCCAAAATCCTTGTTTTTCCTTATTATTTGAAAGATTTTGGCGATTTCACCTTTTCGGCTCCCCGACGCTCCCAAACGGACCGAGAGGCTTCCAAGACCGCTCCAAGACGGCCCAGGAGGCTTCTAAGAGGGCCCCAAAACGACCCAAGAGGGCCCCAAGACAGCCCAAGAGGCGCCCTAAACGGCCCAAGAGGGCCTCAAGATGGCCCCCAAAGAGGCCCAAAAGAACACGAACCCAAAATCCGAGCCTACTGCCCCAATAAGACCCCAGGAGGCCCCATGAGGCGCTCAGGAAGCCCCGAAGAGGCCCCCAAGAGGCGTCTAAGAGTCCCAAAAGAGGCCCCAGAGGTGCCCCAACCGACCCCCAAGAGGTGTCCAAGCTGCCTCCAAGAGGCCCCCGAAAAGCCTCACACGAGATCCCAGCGAACATCCAATAGGCTTCATACCCTCAACCCAGACACGGTGGCGGGATGGGCCGAAGGTCATTCGATCCGCCGCCCCCTGTTGATTCATCACAGGGGTGCCTGGCGTGCTGAACTGCTTACGGTTTTGGTTTTGGTTCTTTTCCAAAAGAACTCTCCCAGTGGGTTCCGGCGCGTCCCGCCGGGGTCCCGGGAGGATGCCGAAAGATCTTCCAGAGGTGGTTGCAAAGGGTTTTTCCGTTCCAGACCGCTCCAAGATGGCCTAAGATGGCCTCCAAGACGGCCAAGATGGCCTCCAAGACGGCTGAGATGGCCCCAAGATGCCTCCAAGATTGCCCAAGATGCACCCTAGACGGACTAAGATGGCCTCAAGATGGCCCAAAACGGCCCAAGAGGCTCCCAAGAGGCCTCCAAGACGGCCCAAGAGGCCTCCAAGAGGTCCTCCAGGACGGCCCGAAGAGGCCAAAATCGTTGATTTTCGTAAGGTTTTTGAAGGATTTTGGCATTTGCGCATTTTCGGCTTTTCGACGGCCCAAGACGGCCCAAGAGGCCCCCAAGATCGCCCAAGAGGCCCCCAAGAGGGCCCCATGACGGCCCAAGTGGCCTCCAAGACGGCCCCAAGAGGGCCGCAAGACGGCCCAAGAGGCCTCCAACACGCCCTAGATGGCCTCCAAGACGCGCAAGATGGCCTCCAAGACGGCCCCGAAGCGCCCCAAGAGGGCCCCAAATCGGCCAAGAGAGGCCCCCCAAACGGCTCCCGACGGCGTCAGACGTGCCAGGAACACACCAAGATGGCCGAAGTTGGCTCGAAGCTGGCCCAAGACGGCCCAAAAGGCCCCCAAGAGGGCCTCCAGGAAGGCCAGAAGAGGCCAAAAACATTGATTTTCCATAGGTTTTGGACGGATGTTGAAATTTGCTTCTTTTCGGCCTTCCGACGGCCCGAGACGGCCCAAGAGCCCCCAAAGATCGCCGAAAGATCACCCAAGAGGCCTCCAAGATGGCCCCAGAACGGCCCAAGGGGGCCCCAAGACGGCCCCAAGAGGCCCGCCAGACGGCACAGGAGGCCTTCAAGACGCCCAAGATGGCCTCCAAGACGGCCCTGGACCATTCCAAGAGGGCCCCAAGTCGGCCCAGAAGGCCCCCCAAACGGCTTCCGACGGCGTCAGACGGACCAAGAGCCCACCAAGACGGCCGAACATGGCCCTAAGATGGCCCAAGACGGCCCAAGAGGCATCCAAGAGGGCCCCCAGGAAGGCCCGAAAAAGGCCCAAATCATTGATTTCCCATGGGTTTTGGAAGGATTGTGGCATTTGTTTGTTTTTCTGCCTTCGGACGGCCCGAGACGGCCCAAGTGCCCCCAAAGATCGCCCAAGAGGCCCAAGACACGGCCCCAAGAGGCCCCCAAGACGGCCCAAGATGTCTCCAAGACGCTCAAGATGGCCTCCAAGACGGCCCAAGAGCCCTCCAAGACGTCCTCCAAGAAGGCCCGAAAGGGTCAGAATGGCCTCCAGACGGCCAAGATGAGCTTCAAGATGCCCACGTGTTCCCCGAAGGCTTTCCAAACCGATTCGGGGAACACATGGTCCAATAGCTTGGCAGGTCTGGCCTCAACGTTCGGCCACATAGGCGCTTCCAAAAAGGCAGAGGGCGGCGGTGATTCGCCCTAGGCGTCTTCGATAAACTGTCGGAGCTCCGCACGGAGTTCTTGGATTGGCGCTGGACTCCCCTGGCGCGCGGGGCGCGCCCGGGGCGCGCCAGGGGCGGCGCCGGAGACGCTCCCAGGGGCTCTCAGCGCCGAGCCAAGGCATCCGCGCGGAGATCCGAGAAGCTATGTTATGCCATCTGTATCCCGAGAGTGTCGCCCAGCTCCTCGGACTGCGAGTTGCAGGCGGGTGCCTGCTGCGAGTGGTGGTCGGGAACTGCTGCCTGGCGTGTCGCGGCGGCGGCCCTGGCGACACGCTGTGCGGAGGGGCAACGCTACGGGGGGGCGGGGGTCCTGCTCACAGGGAAAAACATCGACCTGGAAGCGGCGACGGCTCGGCGAGAGGCCCCCAGCAGCGAATCCGCATGTTTCTGGGCAGAGTGGGCTCTCGGGCCCCTGTTGGTGACGGAGGGGCGATTTTGGGGTCGGTGCATCTCCCCCGGAGCCCATCCCCCCGAGCGTTGCCCTCAGTATGCCCTGCAAGCTGCCAGAGGGTAGCGTGTCGCCCCGCTCTGCGGGGCGGGGGGCGAGGAAGGTCTGGGGACGTTGGCGCTTGGGGGCTAGGGACCTGGTGATTTGTTACTCACTCAACAAACCAACCGACGCACAACTGGTTCCACGACGTGAGACTGAAGACTGCTGGGCAATCCGGGAACGTCACAGGGAACGTCGCCAAAAGCGCAGACGCCACCGGAGGAAGGAGAGAAAGCGGGGAAGACAGCGAACGGTAAGCAGTAGGCAGCCGAGAGACACAAAGCCAGGAAGGCAGGGCCACGGAAGACAGAGCGAGGGGGGGCAAGAAAACAAGGACGAGCGAGCAGCGGAATTGGACGGGGTGAGACTGGAGGCAGAGAGGCAAGAGCCCTAACGGAGCGTCCCGAGCGAGCGGAAAGACAAGAGGGGCGCGAGCTCGTGGGTGCGGAGGCCAATGAATAGCAGCTTGCGAACCAGGACCCCATACGCATAGAGCGTCGAGAGAGAGAGAACGCAGGACAAGCAGAACAAGAGCACATTGCAAGGTGAGCGGGACTAGGGACGTAGTTCGCGTGTCATGCCGCAGCGTGGTGTGCCAGAACCAGCGGCGCGACACGCTGAGCAAGAGCTTCTAATCGTACGCAAGTGACAGATGGACTGGAGATCCATGCCAAGCTAAGGGGTCTGGATTTGACGAATTACGTGAGCCTTCCTCGACTCTGTACCCAGGAAGTAATCCATTGCCTGTCAGTTTGGTTCGACGTTTCTATCGAAGCAAGCCTCCAAACAGGATGGACCTTTCCAGGGTCGGTGCATGCAGACGGCATTCATCGCTCGATGCATGTTCCAGCATGTTCCATCCCCATGATGCGACGGCGCGACCAACAAAAGGAATCACGACGTCCTAGAACGTCAGGCTGGAACTGTCGAAGGCACCCGCTGTGCATCTGCTTGCTCCACGACGCCCGAGTCCGAGGTCTCTGGAAGTCAGCAAAATCCCTGGAGGTCTCGACAGGCCCGCCACACGGGGCCGAAAACCCAGGACGGAGGTTGTTACCCGCTCTCCGGCGACATGCGGATCGCGTCGTTCGCCAGCTTCACGGCCTCCACCACGCTCTGCAACACTGGCACCGCCCTTTCCTCGCAGAGGCGGGGGGAAGAGGAGGAGACGACCGTAGGGAGGGAAGGATGAGCAGGAAGAGGCGGAGGAGGAGGAGGAGGAGTGACAGGAATGAGGGCAGAGCCGTGCTTGAGGAAAGGAGGGCGGGGCACGGATAAACAAGAAGCGAACATCAATCCCCGCTCGGGGCAAACCCGTTGCCGACCTTCGCCGAGACTGGCAACCGCATCGAGAGTGCAAGAGACAGTGCGGCCACATGCCCCGTATGACTTGGCGTGTCCTGGCACGCGAGGGCGATGGTCGAAGTCTAGCTCCGACCCAAGGGGAAGTGTTGACATTGTGAGGCCATTCCCAGCGATCGAGAGCACAGAGCAGCAGGGGCGGTCGGTTCGAAAGAGTGTATGGCAAGGGCAACTGAGCCCTGTTTCAAACCAATGACCAGGTCTCATCGAGGCCTTCCCTCGCGCGCAGCTGGTCGCCCGTGCTGACCACGCGGGAGTGTCCGCGGGAACGCCCAAGAGGAGTGGGGAGGCAGGGGTTGGTGCTTGCAGAAATCCGATTCGGCGAGGACGCGAACATATTCAAACATCTGAGGGTGACGTCGACGGGTTTGCAAATGGAGGACCTCATGAGGGTTCCTTTTGGTTCCTTTTGGGGGCCTCTGGGACCGTCTTGAAGCCATTCTGAATATTCTTGAAGCCTCTCCGGCTTGTGAGGGGGAGGGAGGGAGAGGCATGAAGGACAGCGAGCAGGCGGATACTCGAGGAGGAGGAGGAGGAGGAGGAGGAGGAGGAGGAGGAGGAGGAGGAGGAGGAGGAGCAGCAGCAGCAGCAGCAGCAGCAGCAGCAGCAGCAGCAGCAGCACGACCGACCGGGGCCCGTGGGCCGCGTCTCCTGCGTCAGCGCCAGGTGGAGCGGCCCCAGGATGTGTTCGCAGACCTGTGGTCGGGGGTGGGGTGGCGGCGCGCACGAGGGGGATACGGGGGACGGGGGAAGGCTTGTTAGAGGGAGGCTGCTCCTTAGAAGGCGCCGGCCCTACATCTGCAGACAAGGCCCTCGCCTTCTGAGAAGCAGGGGTGCTTCCGAGAAGCCTTCCCCCCTCCCTCCTGCCCCACCCCTTCTGCGCGTGGACTGGGGTGGGGGGCGGCACTGCGCTGCGGATGGTCTCGCTCCTCCCTCCACCCCCTCCCTCCTCGCTCCTCCCTCCCACCCTTCTTGCTGCTCCGTCCATCCGCGCTCGTGCCTATACGCCCCTCCGGGCGCACAAACCGCGCAGGCCCGCCGCACACGTGCCGCCACGAGCCGCGAGGATCGTGTGCAAGACCTTTCCCGTGCATCCTGGGAAGGCCGTGCAGCCGATCTTGCTCTTCGAGGTCGGTGCAATAATGACCGATGTTATTGCAAACTGGCCACCACGTCGCCCCACACTGTGTCCAATGCGATCCTGCGGTCGCAGCCCATCACCCCGCGAATCTGAACAGGATATGAGCATGTCATGTGCCACGCGTTGGGGGTCATGCGACACCGATGCGCGCCCAGTTACACCGCCCCCTGCTCCTTACCATGGCAGCCAACGGAGCATCCCTAGGACACCCCCCCGAGGGGCCAAAATCCTTTCCGCGCTCAATGGGGAACCACTGAGTTTGGCCGGTTGTTCCGTTCATGTTCACATGGCATTTCCGTGGCCTCAAAATGGCTACACGATGCTCAAAGATTAGAGGTGGCCAGGGGGTCTGTGCTGGTTGGGACACCAGGAAATCCGCCGACCCTGTCGGCGTATGTGAGGGGCTTGTCTCTTCCTGTCGTTGTCTGCGTCAGTCGTCGTCTCCGTCGTCCCCTTTCTCTGCACCCTCCTCCTCAAGCCTGTCAGCGAGAGAGAACCCTAGCAACATCGTAATCGAGTCGAAGGAAAACGCCTTCCCTTTGATCCCTCCACCGCCGGGTGGGGTGGGGTCCTTGGGGGGGTAGGTTGGGGAGCGGGGGAGGGGTCAAAGAGGGGGTCCCGGGGGGCGGGGAGCAGATACGCATATACGCATCCCCTCCTGGGGGTCCCCGGGCCTCCGAAAGTACCAGGACAGGCCAAGTGCCCCAAGAGGCTCCCGAGACAGTTCAAGAGGGCCCCGAATCGCCAAACTATCGGTCCAAGACGCCTTCACGCCCTCCAGACTGCTCAGGAGGCCGCCAAGACGTCCCAAGAATCATCCTGGAGCACTCCCGAGAAGGGCCCCACGAGGCGAAATTCATTGATTTCCCAAAGGTTTCTCAGGATTTGGGCGTTCTTGCCTTTTCCGCTCCCGCCGCTCCCAGACAGCGCAAGAGACCCCCAAGATCGCCCCAAGACGGCCCAAGAGGACTCCAACATGGCCCCCACACAGCCCAAGAGGACCCCAAGACACCTCACAACGCCTCCAAGACGGCCCAATAGGCCCCTAAGACGGCTCCAAGAGCGTGCCCAGACGGGGGACCCGAATGGACATTTCGAGCCCTCGGCCCCAAGAGGCTCCCAGGAGGCCCCAAGAGGGTCCGAAGAGGCCCCCAAGACGGCCCGCAAGAGAACCCCAGGAAGCCAGAAAAGGCCCCAAGAGGCTCCCAAGAAGCCCCCCAGAGGCTCCCAAGAGGCCCCAGCTGTCCTCCTCAGAGGCCCCCGAGAGCCTTCCGAAGAGACCGAAGTATCCATCTGGCCGACGTCAGCGTCGTCGTCGTCGTCGTCGTCGTCGTCGTCGTCGTCGTCGTCGTCGCCGCCCCCACATCCGTCGTCGTCGTCGCCCCCCCTGGAGGGTCGGCGGCACCAGCCGTAAGGACTTCGCACTCGGCCAGGGGGGGATGACGCCGAATCCGCTCAAGATTGGTCCCGGTGCATCTGGTGCAGTTTTTCACCACGGATTCGTTTTTCACTGTCCTGGGGCCCGAAAGTGGCCGCCAGAGCCTAAATTATCCCGGCAAAGCAACCTAACAGCGATGTGTAGAAGCATATCTGAAAGCATTCCCCTTAAGATTCAGATGAAAATCCAGTTGTAGAATTCTGCTGTTCTCGCAGTCGTAGTCGCATTCGCGATGACAGTCGCAGCGGCAACGGCAGTCGCAGTCACAGCCTCAGCCTCAGCCTGCCTCAGCCTCAGCCTCAGCCTGCCTCAGCCTCAGCCTGCCTCAGCCTCAGCCTCAGCCTGCTTCAGCCTCAGCCTCAGTCTGCCTTCAGCCTCGGCCTCAGCCTCAGCCTGCCTCAGCCTCAGCCTGCATCAGCCTCAGCCTCAGCCTCAGCCTGCCTCAGCATCAGCCTGCCTCAGCCTCAGCCTCAGCCTGCCTCAGCCTCAGCCTCAGCCTGCTTCAGCCTCAGCCTCAGTCTGCCTTCAGCCTCGGCCTCAGCCTCAGCCTGCCTCAGCCTCAGCCTGCCTCAGCCTCAGCATCAGCCTGCCTCAGCATTCAAAATGTGGCCCGGGAATGGAGTTCTGGGAACTCGAAGAACACGAAGTGGCCTACAGTTGGCTCCGGGCATTCAAAATCATGCCCAGGAATGGAGTTCTGGGAACTCGAAGAGCACGAAGTGGCCTACAGTTGGCTCCGGGCATTCAAAATGTGGCCCGGGAATGGAGTTCTGGGAACTCGAAGAGCACGAAGTGGCCTACAGTTGGCTCCGGGCATCCAAAATGTGGCCCGGGAATGGAGTTCTGGGAAGTCGAAGAGCACGAAGTGGCCTACAGTTGGCTCCGGGCATCCAAAATGTGGCCCGGGAATGGAGTTCTGGGAAGTCGAAGAGCACGAAGTGGCCTACAGTTGGCTCCGGGCATCCAGAATGTGGCCCGGGAATGGAGTTCTGGGAGGTCGAAGAGCACGAAGTGTGTGACTGTTGGCGAAAAGCGAGCCCGGCTCTGTTCCCCGTTCTGTTCCCGGTTCTCCTCCCCGGCACCCGCCCAGACCCCCCTGAGGAGTCATGATGCTCTCTTTTGACCCTATTATCCCGGCAAAGCAACCTAACAGCGATGTGTAGAAGCATATCTGAAAGCATTCCCCTTAAGATTCAAATGAAAATCCAGTTGTAGAATTCTGCTGTTCTCGCAGTCGTAGTCGCATTCGCGATGACAGTCGCAGCGGCAACGGCAGTCGCAGTCACAGCCTCAGCCTCAGCCTGCCTCAGCCTCAGCCTCAGCCTGCCTCAGCCTCAGCCTCAGCCTCAGCCTCAGCCTCAGCCTGCTTCAGCCTCAGCCTCAGTCTGCCTTCAGCCTCGGCCTCAGCCTCAGCCTGCCTCAGCCTCAGCCTGCATCAGCCTCAGCCTCAGCCTCAGCCTCAGCCTCAGCCTCAGCCTCAGCCTCAGCCTCAGCCTGCTTCAGCCTCAGCCAGTCTGCCTTCAGCCTCGGCAAGGCCTCAGCCTGCCTCACTCCTCAGCCTGCCTCAGCCTCAGCATCAGCCTGCCTCAGCATTCAAACTGTGGCCCGGGAATGAAGTTCTGGGAACTCGAAGAACACGAAGTGGCCTATAGTTGGCTCCGGGCATTCAAAATCATGCCCAGGAATGGAGTTCTGGGAAGTCGAAGAGCACGAAGTGGCCGACAGTTGGCTCCGGGCATTCAAAATGTCGCCCGGGGATTGAGTTCTGGGAAGTCCAAGAGCACGAAGTGGCCTACAGTTGGCTCCGGGCATCCAAAATGTGGCCCGGGAATGGAGTTCTGGGAATTACGAAGTGGCCTACAGATGGCTCCGGGTATCCAAAATGTGGCCCGGGAATGGAGTTCTGGGAAGTCGAAGAGCACGAAGTGGCCTACAGTTGGCTCCGGGCATCCAGAATGTGGCCCGGGAATGGAGTTCTGGGAGGTCGAAGAGCACGAAGTGTGTGACTGTTGGCGAAAAGCGAGCCCGGCTCTGTTCCCGGTTCTGTTCCCGGTTCTCCTCCCCGGCACCCGCCCAGACCCCCCTGAGGAGTCATGATGCTCTCTTTTGACCCTACTAGAAACCTATCAGCAAACGCTGTTAGGTAACTAGAAACCTATCAGCAAACGCTGTTAGGTAAAAAAGCGAAAACCGTTCTCGAGCCCCCCCTGCTGGCCGGACCCAGCCAGCCGACTCCGAGCCCCAGGAGAGGCCCAAGAGGGGCCCAAAGATGGCCCCAGGAGCACCCTTGGGCGCCCCAGGAAAGCTCCAAAGAGCCGGCCGAGGCGAAGGCCTGCTCCTGCAGCACCTCCGGGTTGGGCGCGTACACGGCGCAGTAGCCCAGGGCGAGCGTCAGCATCGCCCGCAGGTACTCCGCCTGCGGCGGGGCACGGGCGCAGGCTGAAAGCGAGCAAGGGATTCCGGACGGGAACGCTGCGTAGCGCGTCGCGGCGGCGGCCCCGGCAATATGCTATGCCCTGCGAGCGGATAGCGTGTCGCTCTGCTCCGAGGGCGGGAGGCTCGGGAAAAGTGGGGACTCTGACGCACGTGAATGGGCAGGTGGGTAGGGTGTCGCGCCGAGGCGTGGTGGGCCAGAACCGACAGTGCGAGACGCGACCCCAGAGTTCCCGACCGTATGTCGATCCCTATACCCGGTTTCGTAGGGGTTTGGGGCCCAACCAAGGAATACACGAGACGGGGGGCGTCATCCCCGATAGCAGTGCGTCCAGATAGCTCCCCGGGGATGTATTCCCGAATTTCCTTGTTTTTGTTCTGCAAAACTGCCGCCACTTTCCAGGGCTGCTGGGGGGTCCAGCGCAATGAGGCACCACCCAGATTCAGATTAGACCTCGCCATCCCTGTGACCCTGCGATCTGCGAATCTGTCGCCACCCTCCACGGCTGAAGGGGGATCCAGCGGAGTGAGGCACCACCCAGATTCAGGTTAGACCTCGCCCTCCCTGTGGGGGTGCGATCTGCGATACTGCCGCCGCTTTCCAGGGCTGCTGGGGGATCCAGCGCAGTGAGGCACCACCCAGATTCAGATTAGACCTCGCCGTCCCTGTGCGGCTGCGATCTGCGAAGCTGTCGCCACTTTCGAGGGCTGCTGGGGGTCCAGCGGAGTGAGGCACCACCAAGATTCAGATTAGACCTCGCCATCCCTGGAGGGCTGCGATCTCACTTTCGAGGGCTGCTGGGGGGTCCAGCGGAGTGAGGCACCATCCAGATTCAGATTAGACCTCGCCATCCCTGTGGGACTGCGACTTTCGAAACCGTCGCCACTTTCCAAGGCTGCTGGGGGGTCCAGCGGAGTGAGGCACCACCCAGATTCAGATTACACCTCGCCATCCCTGTGGGGCTGCGATCTGCGAAGCTATCGCCGCTTTCCAGGGCCACCCAGATTCAGATTAGACCTCGCCATCCCTGGGGGGCTGCGATCTGCGAAGCTGTCGCCACTTTCCAGGGCTGCTGGGGGGTCCAGCGGAGTGAGGCACCACCCAGATTCAGATTAGACCTCGCCATCCCTGGGGGGCTACGATCTCACTTTCGAGGGCTGCTGGAGGGTCCAGCGGAGTGAGGCACCACCCAGATTCAGATTAGACCTCGCCATCCCTGGGGGGCTGCGATCTGCGAAGCTGTCGCCACTTTCCAGGGCTGCTGGGAAGTCTAGCTCAGTGAGGCACCACCCAGATTCAGATGAGACCTCGCCATCCCTGGGGGGCTGCGATCTGCGAAGCTGTCGCCACTTTCGAAGGCTGCTCTGGGGTCCAGCGGAATGCGGCACCACCCAGATTCAGATTAGACCTCGCCATCCCTGGGGGGCTGCGATCTGCGAAGCTGTCGTCACTTTCCAGGGCTGCGGAGAGATGCAACACCCAGATTCAGATTAGACCTCGCCATCCCTGGGCGTCTGCGATTTGCGAAACCGTCGCCACTTTCCAGGGCTGCTGCTTGTGCAGCGGAGTGAGGCACCACCCAGATTCAGATTAGACCTCGCCATCCCTGGGGGGCTGCGATCTGCGAAGCTGTCGCCACTTTCCAGGGCTGCTGGGAAGTCTAGCTCAGTGAGGCACCACCCAGATTCAGATGAGACCTCGCCATCCCTGGGGGGCTGCGATCTGCGAAGCTGTCGCCACTTTCGAAGGCTGCTCTGGGGTCCAGCGGAGTGCGGCACCACCCGAATTCAGATTAGACCTCGCCGTCCCTGTGCGGCTGCGATCTGCGAAGCTGTCGCCTCTTTCGATCGTCGCCGTCGCCGTCGCCGTCGCCGTCGTCTTCGTCGTCCTGCCCCTCCTCTCCTCGTCCTCCTTGGCGGCCCGCCCGGGGGGCATGGCAGGAGAGGGCGGCGGCCCTTCTCAAAGCCCTCGCGTCTGGAAGGTTCGGGCTCAGGAGGCGTCTCGGTAAGCGGAAGGGCGCCTGAGGCACCCCGCCGCCCGATGAGAAGGCCGGCCCCCTCTGCCCTCCCCGCCCCCTCCTCTCCTCGGCCCTCGACCCGACTCTCCCGGCCTGCTGCACGGCCGTGGACTTGCCGAAGAGGCTCTGCGCGATGGACCCCGCCCGGCGGGTGGCCGCGTCGGTTTTCGCGTGCCGGCCGAGCACGCTGAGCACGAGGTCGAAGTGCCTCTGCGCCACCTGGCCGGAGTGAGCGGGTGTGGAGAGGCATCGACGGCGGCGTCGAGGCGGGGGAGGAGGCAGAGGCCCAGGGAGCCACGGAGACAGAAAGACTCAGCGCCCCCGTGTTTGCACACCTGGACCCCGCGGCCCCGGGATCACAATGCCAGAAGCGTTTCAGGAGGCGCCTCTTCTTCAGGGGACTCTTCCGACAAGGCCGTGCTCGACGTGGCGATCTTGTCCGACAACCTGTGCTGATCTTGGGGCTGCTGCCCGCAGGAGGCCCTGTGCGAGGAGGAACAGGGCCCGACCGTGGTCGGCTCGATGAGCCTCTGGGACTCTGAGCCTGGCGCTTTCGAGGAGGCGTCGCGCGAGGAGGCCTGTGCCGGCATCCTGGATGTGCCAGACACGGGCACAGCAGTTGACTCGATGCCTGCTTGCATCATCTTGCATCACGGCGCCCGAACTGGTCATGCGCCTCCCAGGGGGTCTGCAAACACTCTGGGCAGCAGGCGGTCCCCAGAAAGGCCGCTGCCACACTAGCAGGCCACATGGTCTCCGAGCCAGGCGCATCTGCGTAGGTGCCAGACGGAGAGTGTCCCCCACAAGTGAACGAGTGGGTCCGACACGGAGTTCCACCTACGAGGAACTGTGGGTGCTCCAAACAGGAAAGATACTTGTAATGAACTTGGGCGCAGGTGGTCGTACACCCCAAGCTGCAGACGCTGAAGTAGGCGCGCCGCTTGCCACATGTATACGAGTGGTACATGCGTACCCAGACTCATAGCGATCGGCGTGAGCGCTTTACTTTATCGGATAAGTGCGAACGCCAACGCGATGAACTGGTCCTCGGCCAATCGCCACTTGCACTCTGTCCCACTCGCCTTCCTCGCCCTATTTCTGCGCTGCTGCCTTCCCCCCCTCTTGTCTTTGGACTCCTTCCTCTCCCCTTCCTCGTACAATCTGCTCGTTCTGACTCCTACTCCTCGTGCCTACTCCCCGTCCGTGACTTCTCAGCCTCCTCGCTCCTCAGCATTGCTTCTCTCTTCTTGCTGTATTCGTGAAGGTTGCGTTTTTGGGAATACGGTGGAGGCTTCCTGTGTGCGTGGTGTGGCGTGCGATGTATGATGTGTGTGTGTGCGCGCGCGTGTTCTGCGTGTTGTGCGTCGGTGCTCGATTGTGTAAGGTTACCTCAGGCGAGCCTGCATTCGGTTTCCTTGAATAAGTGTGGTCGCAAAGGGCTCGAGGTTGGGAGGATATCTCCGGCGAAACTGTTGTTTTCCTCTCAGCGTCAAGCTCAAAGAGGCATGTATGTTGGGAGGATGTGGCAGGCGGAATTGCCACTGGGTGCCATTGCCTAAATCTCGTCTTTCATGTCATTGGAGCCCAGTGTGTTCTTGTAATTGGACCTGTCTTTCAAGATCTGCGCGAGGAGCGTCACCAACTTTGCAAAGCTCGAGGACGTCTATGGCGAAACTTCCAGGGAAAAGGGTAGACGCCGGACATGTTACTCCCGTCCGAACTTTACTTTTTTAGAAGTGCGTATGAGGGTGTAGACATCTGAAACATAACTTCTTTTTTGTATGCGTAAGCCGTGCGGCGGCGACCCTGGCGACACGCCGTGCCCTGCGAGCGGATCGCATGTCGCTCCGCTCCGCGGGGCGGCGGGCTGGGGGGGAGGGCTCGGGACGTTGACGCTTGGGGACTGGGCCGTGGACAGCGCGTCGCGCCGAGCAGTGGTGGGCCAGAAGCAACGGAGCGACGCGCTGAGCCCAACAGCCTGACCGTATGTGCGTCTGTATGTATGTGTGTACACACATGGCTATGTATGCGGATTCCAAACAAGGGCGTCTCGCGGGAGCCGAAACCAAGCGGGTCTTCCCAAACCAAGCCACCAAATTCCCTACCTAGGCTCTGCCTAGAAGGGCTCTTACTCTCTTAGCTTAAAGGGGCCGGGCAGTGCAACACGCCCCGGGCGGTTCCCCCAGTCCCCTGGGAGCGGTTCCCCCCAGTCCCCTGGGAGCTTTAGCTTTAGCTTTAGCTTTAGCTTAGCTTTAGCTTAGCTTCAGCTTAGCTTTAGCTTAGCTGTAGCTTAGCTTTAGCTTAGCGTTTCGCTTAGCTTTTCGCTTAGCGTTTAGCTTGGCTTTAGTTTAGCTGTAGCTTAGCTTGAGTTTAGCTTGAGCTTAGCTGTATCTTAGCTTTAGTTTAGCTTTAGCTTAGCTTCAGCTTAGCTTCAGCTTAGCTTTAGCTTAGCTGTAGCTTTAGCTTAGCTTTAGCTGAGCTGTTGCTCAGCTTTAGCTTAGCTTTACCTTAGCTTTAGCTTAGCTTTAGCTTAGCTTTAGCTTAGCTTTTAGCTTAACTTTAGCTTAGCTGTGGCTTAGCTTTAGCTTAGCTTTAGCTTAGCTTTAGCTTAGCGTTACTGTTACTACTAATGCTGCTTTCCTAGGGGTTCCAACTCCTAGGTAGGGTCGCACTGGGATAAATTTTCCCAAACCAACCAGGTCTTCTCGAACCACGACCCCGGGTCTTCCCCAACCAACCAGGTCTTCCCAAACCAACCGCGTTTTCCCAAACCACAACCCCTGGTCTTCCCAAATCAACCAGGTCTTCCCAAACCAAGCGGGCCTTCCAAAACCACAACGGCCGGGTCTTCCCAAACCAACTGGGCTATCCCAAACCAACCGGGTCTTCCCAAACCACATGGCCGGGTCTTCCCAAACCAACCGGGTCATCCCAAACCAACTGGTCTTCCCAAACGGGTCTTCCCAAACCAGCCGGGTCTTCCCAAACCAAACCGAATTTTCTTCAACCGAATCCCCAGGTCTTCCCAAACCAACCAGGTCTTCCCAAACCAACCGGGTCTTCCCAAACCAACCAGGTCTTCCCAAACCAACCGGGTGTTCCCGAACCAACGGGGCCACCCTAGCCAAAAGTTGATTTGGGAAGACCCGTTTGGTTTGGGAAAGACGCCCCTCCGCCCCCCCTCCTTTGATCGATATCCCCCAAGATGGCCCCACGAGGCCCCCACAGGCCTCCCAAATTGCCCCAAGAGACCCCCAAGAGGGCTCTTTGATGACTCCAAGAGAGCTCGAGATGGCCCCGAATGGCCTCCAACATTGCATTACGTATCCCGAGATGGCTTCAGATGGCCACCAAAAGCGCGGCATGCCTCTCGCCACCGCAGCCGTGAGGAACCCGGTGGAACACCGCCGACGATCTGTTTACAATCGATTTCAAAACCAAAAACACACCCACGGCAATTTCCCACGCAATTTTTCACGCGACCCGTGTTCAAATGTGTCGGGCAGTCTTTGGCCGGCTGTTCGAGGACCCCCAGGGGGGCGACAGTTTTCGGGACAGGGGGGGGGGGGTCCGAAGAATTGTTAGGGAAAGATGTCGCTCCTCTGGGCGTGCCAATCCTTCCCAGAACCGCGAGGCGTTCGGGCAAACGCCGCGCGACGGTTCCCCTCAAGAGGAGGGGCGCCTTCAGATGATGGGAAGAAGAGGGAGGAAGAAAAAAGAGGAGGGAGGAGCGGCGGTAGGCTCGAAAGAGGGGGAAGTGGAGGGAGGAAGTGTGACTCTGGGTTTGGGCAAGTGGAAGGAGGACGAAGGAAGGGATAAGAAGAGGGGGAGGAGAATAAAGAAGGCTAGCGATGGAGAAAGAGGAAGGGGGAAGGACAGGGAGGCGTAAGGAGGGGAAGGAAATTGAAAGCCAGGCGAGACTGTTGTTTCCGTCGTTTTTCCTCTGCTCCACGAAAATCAAATCAGAACGGCTGGCATCCCCCGGTGCCTCTCGGGGGCCTCTTGGAAATCGCTTGGGCCTGTCGCGAACTTTCCGAGCCCCTCGACACCTTCCAAAGACGCCCTGACACCGGAGGGGGGGGGGCCGAGACGGAGTCCAAAGAATGGCCCGAGAAGGGGCACCAAGCCTGCATATACTACGTGCCTATTTCGGGGTCCTCCTGGGAGACTCTCTCGGGGCCCTGTCGCGAACTCTCCGCTCGTCGCCCCCCGAGGTCACCCTGGCACCCAAAAGGATTCCTGGGAGGAACCGCAGGAAGGGGCCCCGGAAAGAAACACCAGCCTGCGTATCCCTCGTGCCTCCGTCGGGGGGGGTCCCTCCTGGAAGCCTCTCGGAGCCATTCTGGGGACCCGGTGACTCTCTCGGGGCCCTGTCGCGCACTCTCTGAGCCCCTCGGCGCCCCGCGGGAGCGCCCTGGAGGCCAGGGGGAGCCCGACGAGGAGCCCCAGGGGGGCCCTGTAAAGAAGCAAAAACAACCAGACGCACCAGTTGAGGGGAGCAGCGGGGACGGAGGGAGGAAGAGGGAGAGGAAGAAGAAGAGGGGGAGGCCATTGCGCGCCGTAGCTGCAACGCGGTTTGTGATACGCGCGCGCCTTTTGCACCCAACGGCGCCCGCTCGCGCGCGAATGACATCATGCCCTCTCGTGGCACGCGGTGTGCAGTCGCGCGCCGCGCACAACGATCTGACAGTCGCGTCTGGGAAATCAAAATAATCAACGCGCGAATCGGCTTCCGTCGACGCGCGAGAACTGGAGATCGATCAACAAATCTACCGAATCTTTCACCCTTAGGGAGAGGAGGGCCTGACAAATGCCGCTCAAGGCCCAAAGTCTCACTCGACATCCGGATTTGAGAACAAGGATAAACCGAAAACAAAGAGAAGGGATCGGGGCGACGGGTAGGACTGTTGGAAGACATGAGAGCGACAAGGACGCATGGAATGCAAAGAGATCTTTTCAGTCGGCCCCGGAGGTCCCGGGCAGTACACACGCTCCTCGTGCGCGCACGCATCTAAGCCAAAATGGCTGTGGCAAACCCATCAGCAATCCTATCTGTTCCAAAGAGCATTGGGGGTGGGGTGGAGATACACGACAGCGGGACCACTTTTAGTGGGACAGACAAGGATTGGGACGCCTCCCCTCTCACGGGCGAGCTCTCGATACCCCCGAAGCCAGTCACACACTCTTGAGTCCTGCTCTCGGCCTCTCGGGCCAGTTCC